TTTCCAACCTTTTCTTCCTTTCTTCCTGACCTTCCTCCTTCCCTTCCCTTCCCTTCCTCCTTTTCTTTTCTTTTTTTCTTTTATTAATTTATTTTCTTATATATATATATATATAAAATCTTTCTTTCTTTCTTTCTCTTTCTTTCCTAGGAGTTGAAGTCTACACATTCTCAGGCCACCTAAATCAAGAAAAACCTTTTTCCTTTTTCATTTCACTCCCGCCTTGATGCATCATCCATCACCCCGACGGAGACCTTGAGCAAAACTGACCAAGGCCCCTTATGGAGTGAAACCATCCTTGGAGAGAAACTCCAAGCAAATTGCCACAGGGGTCCAGAAGGAGGTGCCGTGTCGTGGCCCCACATTCTTGGCTATTTTAATTTTCCCATGGGTGTGTGTGTGTGTGTGTGTGTGTATTTTTTTTTTAAATTATTTGTTGAATTTATATGCTCCTCATCTCAAGTATCCAGTGAGATACGTGGGGAGGGGAAAAAGCCAGGGAAAAGAATGATAAGTTACTCTCTTTTATCATGGATGTTCGGTTCTTACATCGCACAAAAGGCAGGGCTTCCAACGGAACGGTTGCAACCATCATTTCCACCTTTTTAAAAAAAAATAAAAAATCCCTCCCAGATGCTCCTGAAGGATTTTGGAAGCCAGAGGTGAAATTATTATTATTATTAAAAAAAAAAAAAGGAAGTCAGAAATCTTTTTTGTTTTTTCCCTCCCACGCAGACCTTGCCCCTTTCCCGCTTTGCAGGGCTGTTGTTCTCCCACGTTCCTGGATTCCTGACCTTTTGGGGCAGAGCCTGCAGGTGCAGGAAAAGAGCTCGCGAGAAGCTCTCCGGTCAGCGTGGGTGAGAAGAGCCAGAAAAGGATGGACACAGTCTGTGAGTCCCAGGGGAAGAAGACCCCAAAAAAATAAGAAAGAAAGTTTTCAGCCATTCCCATCACCGGGAAAAGGATGAGTTAGTCGTGTTCCCGCGAAGAGCGTTTTCATTCCCTCGGTTATAAAGTAGGAGCGTAGCGAAGGAGGAGGCCGCCGAGAGAAAAAGAAGAGAGAGGAAGATCCACCCCGCTGGCCACGGTCTGTGGGATGGATTTCTTTGCAAAAGGAAGTTTTGGGTTGCAGGGCGTTTTTGCTCTTAGAAATTCCGATTTTATGAGCTCGGCTGATGAGGAAGGAAAGGTTTAAAACGGCCCCTTCCGAACGGAGGGGCTGGAAGAGACCCAGGATGTGGGGTGTGTGTGTGTGTGTGTGATACAACCCCTGATGTAAATGTCATATTTTTGGGGGGGGGGTCTCTCCCACCACCACAGGGAGGCTGAGGGGGCTATGGACCACCCCCCCTGCATCCTAGGCGCCTGGGTTAGGCCGCTGCGGCGGCGGAATCGGAGTCCTTGTTTATCGAGAGCCGGTTCTTGGTCGGTTCGGTTTCGGCCACTGTGGCAAAGGCAAAAGGGGGAAGACGGAGGGATGGAAGGGAGAGAGGGAGAGAAAGAGAGAGGGAGGGAGAGAGAGAGGGAGGGAGGAGGCAGAAGGGAATGGGAGGGAGGGAGGGAGAAAGGAAAGAAGGAGGAAGGGGAAGTGAGGGAGGGAGGGAGAAGGGAATGAAGGAGGAAGGAAGGGAGAGAAAGGGAGGAAGGAAGGGAGGGAGGGAAGAAGGAGGGGGAAGGGAGGATGGAAGGGAGGGAGGGAGGAAAGAAGGAGGGGAAAGGGAGGAAGGGAGGGAGGGAGGGAAAAGGAAAGGGAGGAACAGAAAAGAAAGGAGGGAG